GTTTCTCCAAATTAGGGGTACCATTACAGGGGTGCCTATAATAAGGATTCTGGTACTGTGGGGTCTATATTGGGTGTCCACCTATTCTGGGAAACTTCCAGGCATTCCGTGGCGTTCCCTTCTCAAGGTTGCGGCCTTGACCTGCTTCGATCCAGACAGCCGGCGGGGCCTCTCCTGCGTGCGGACCGTTAAAATGTTTGGAGTTCTATCTTTGGTAGGGCCCCTTTCCGGGGGCTAGGCACATAGTCTAAATTGCTGCGGAAGTTTAGAGCCTGAAAATGCAGTGTCATCGGGGTTACAATGGATCTTCTTGGTTACCAATCAGCCTTCCCTCCGTGAGAGTACTCCATGTACTCGTAGTGAAGGTAACACTCTGCACCATCAACCCCCAACCCTAAACTCAAACTGCGTCGAGGGTTGTAAGGTTTGGAAGCAGTAGTGAGGTTTTGGATAGTTGTTGACTTGTAATAAGTCATTCGCGATACGTCATAAACCGTAACACCCGTGAAAACCGAAAAAGACAAACATTTTGAAGGATATCTGACATTCTGAGCTTCCTACTCCTTTTGCAGGGGGGGGGGGGGTNNCGGGTTCATCATTGCTATTACTCTGATTCTTAGTGTTTTTTTTGGTACGTGGTGCTGCCTGCACCTCTTCATCTTCTGCCGGCTACTAGGCAGAAGTCCATGCTATCCGCTTGCTTGTCACTCCTAGGTCACAGGAGCCCGGCACTACCAGGTGATCAGGGAAGCTTACTTTCAGGGCTGGCTTGCCATCCAGACCAATTCGTTGCTGACGAAATGGAAGACGACTCAATGGACATTTTGGGTTTGCCGGTTTACTCGTTAGGGAGGAGACATCAATTCTGCAACCCCAGAATTGCTGAGAATTTCTCTGTCGCAGCAGCCTGCGTAGAGCAAATTTATCAGCTGAATCATACCTTTGGACGTGGCTATCCAGATCAGATCAACGGCCTTTATTCACGCTTGGCCCTAGAGCTTAAAAAAAAGCGCTGCGCAGCAGCTATAAAAGAATCTGATTGGCTGTTGGAAAAGGTTCGCGATTTCACAAAAGGACAAAGTGCTGTCTCAAAGAACAGTGGGTTCCTCCTCTAGCCTCAATACAAAAACAGGAGTGCTTACCCCGCACTGGGATCCCTACCAGAAAAACACTGGTAGTAGAAGGGACCCGAAACTTCCCCAACTGAACTCTCACCGAATCATATTCCCGCTGGCCTTGTAGCAACCCTCTGCAGAAAATGTTTGTCACATCCCTGCCCAATTCCCATATTGGCCCCCTTTACAACACTCTTGCGATTCTCCCTGTGGCGCTGCTAAGGCCCTAGAACAGTCTCCCCACATGTTGCCTCTTTCTGTTTCGGCTCCGTCGTATCTTTGGCCTGCATTGAAGACATTGGCCGGCAAAACATGGCAAAGCAACTATGGTACTGGGAGCCAACGACATCCTTGTTCATGGGAGGGGCTTCTGCACGTAAGCAAACAGCTTGACCTATGAGCCAGATGTGCCACGAGATGCATGAGATCATCACCTCC